TATAAAGATTATTAGACACAAACTACGACTGCCTCGTGGTGATTGAAGAGCACTTTGAGAATCGCACGCCCAAGTGTGAAATCCAGGGAACGATGAAATTGCATGTCTATGCACGAACCGTTCCCTATCATTAGTGTGTATGCCTGAAAGTCTTATACAATGTTATTAGATACAAACTAACACCGCCTTGTGGTCACTGAAGAACACTTCCAGAATCGCGCACTCAAGCTTCAAGCGTAATTCCACGCCCGTGGTTTCGCCGGCTTTATTTCTTTTATTCCCCGAGAAAGTTTCTGGCATAATTAGCAAAAACGCTTTGTTATCTTTGTTTCCTAGCAGTCTCATGTTTATCTTGCTACGTGCCGTCATGGTGTCCCACTGTCACCTGACGACGTATTGTCACGTGGCGTCTGAATGTCGCGTGACATCAAAGTGTCACGTGACGTCATTACATCACGTGACTCATTGTGTCACCTGACGTCATTAAGTCGCGTGGTGTCACTGTGGAACGTGACTTGACAATGTCACGTCATGGTGTCAGTGACGCCAGGTAACAGGTGACGTAATGCGCGGCGTGACGTCGTGTCGAGCGTCGTGATATCAATATGGAATCTTTTGGCGGAGTGCCGGAAATGGCCCGCGTCGATATGAAGCGCAGTCGACGACGCGAAACCTGCGGAATGTCCCACTAACTGTAATCAGAATAAAAAAAAGTGAGCTCGACGTTTGAACACGGTGGCTGTCATAGCGTGTGTTGTCTCTTGCTCGAAACGAATCTTGAGCTACGCAGCGCCGAGCATGCTTAAATCTGGCGCTGTGTAGCTAGACCAGATATACGAAAGCACTGACAGAAGCGCCTCGGTACAAACTGTTGTGTAGGTTTGCGCAGACAGACACACTATGCGGGGTTCGGGCTAACGCTGAAGCGTCGAGACCTGGCCGTGCAAGCTATATAGAGTTCTAGTTCCGAGGTGAACATCCTGATGATGCCATCAGGATGTTCACGAGTCGTCCATGCGAAAAAGTAGAGGCCGAAAATATGTTCAGAGCAAATAATCAAGTCTGCGATGTTACAGTGAGAATAACGTATCTCATGTTTACGTTAATGCCTGTGCCACATCGCTGACTTCATTATTAGGGCTAAGCGCCAAACACCTTCATATATTGCACTGATTGGCTTTCCGAGCGTTCTGTAAGAAAGTAGTTGCACCGGCGGCAATCGTTTTAGCGCACGTCGCAAGTTTAATTATCATGCCTTACCAACACGCCCAAGCTTCCATTCTGAACAGTCGATATTCATAACTGAAATATGGCTACACCCATTTGCTCCAAAGCCAAAGAAAATACTCACGGCAATTTTGGCGGGCTCGTAGCGTTTGTAAATGTAGATACCGGACGAGAGAAAAGAAATCATAGCCGTGGCTTGGAAACACAGAAACTGTATAGGGATTAACGAAACGCCACTTGTAAATGACGCGATCAGGGAAACAACAACAAAAAAAAGTCGTTATTGGAAGGGAAAATATTTTGAAATCCGACAGAACGAGCAATGTTTCAGTATCACATTAAGCTTCAGCATTTATCGAAGGAACATTCATCTGAGAATTTACGTACGCGTCTTATGGATTATGTAAGTTGTTAAAAACAATCTACGGAAACTTCCTGAGATAATTGGGGGAAAGGGGGGGGGGGGGGGGGGGAGGAGAGGTGATATGCCGTCAACAGATGCAAAATCAAACGCATAATTTGCATTTCAGTATTCTCTTTAAGAGCAAATCCGCTAACAATAACCTTACGCGCAGTTTACGCACGCATTTACACGTTCTTAAAAAAGATACGGCAAAGGGCTAGGCAATTAATTGCGTTGCATACGTGAAACATTCTAGCATGACAAACTTTTAGTGATACTCTGAGTTTCAAGACGCCAGACGCATGCGTTCACGGCGCTCTTCAGCAGATAGTTTAACGCGTACCATGTGTACACTTGATAGTTGTTCGTAGAATGAAGCGATACTACCGCTACTCGGGTTAATAAACCTGGCGATCTTCCAGAGCCTTCCATACTCTCGAGCTCCTCTCTCTCTCAGTGCGCACATATGTGATGGAGCTCCTTGACGCCTACCTCACGCCTCCTCCCCTACCTCCCCGTTTACCAATCAGCGTCGAGCACCTCACTCCTCCTCTCCCACCCGTCAACCAAACAGTGTCGAGCCTCGCGGCCACGCTTTTATGTGGGTTTCACGAAATGCCAAACACCTAGCAAAAGAAAGTTTCACGAAAAAATGCCTTTGCACCTACTTTCCCGCAGAGCACTCGGAAAGCGAGTCTCTCCAGCGTACGGAAGGAGCACTGGGGATGGCATGCCGCTAATGTATTTAACCCTAAAACTGAAGTCTGCGACGTGGCTCTAACTATGACGCAATCGCGGAACCTCATGCTCAGTGCCACACCGCAAAGGTAATTTTTAGGTCTAAACATATTTTTAGTTTCGTCATTCGGCGAGTTCCCCCCATATCGAAGATGTGAGCTCTCCGAGTGCTCTGCGGGAAAATGGGCGCACGGGCATGTTTAGAAGTGTGAATTATGAACTTTATTCAACCTGGACTGATGCCACCGATTCATTCGATAGATGCACTTATGCGTTAAAAGCAGCTATAGAATAACCCAGAAAATTAGTATTTATCCTACTCGGGCACATACAATATAGGATAGTCGGCTTGCGCCTCATAACAGGCAGCGATGGCGCGAAACAGTTTGAACCAACTGTCTCGCGTTCTCTATACTCTCATGGTCACGCTCCTCCCATCGAACACCTTGAGTGTACCTCTACCAAATACCCTAGCATAGTCACTGACAGAGTGAGAAAGCAGGGCGTGTCTTTCAAACGCCCGGCTTCCTTCACGCGCTTTATACAGGGTGTCACAAAAGAAAATTTACACGCTCTTTTTTACCCCAAAAATAAACTAGGCATCGCCGAACGCTCATTCTCCGCCCAAAGGTTGAACTAGAGGTCACAACCAGATGCCAAAGTTTCAGCCCGATCCGATAACATAATCAAAAGTTATAAGTGATTTTATGAAAAGTTCAATGGGAAAATGGAGCCCATTTTTGCCCGTTTTCGGTTTCTGGTGCCATAGAGCCCCATGTGTTTGAAAACTCTGTCGGCCGCCATTTTCCCATTGAAATTTTCAGAAAATCACTTATAACTTTTGATTAAGTTATGGGATCGGGCTGAAACTTTGGCATCTGGTTGTGACCTCTAGCTCTACCTTTGGGCGGAGAATGAGCGTTCGGCGATGCCTAGTTTAATTTTGCGGTAAAAAAGATTGTGTAAATTTTCTTTTGTGACACCCTGTATATGCCTTCAACTGTGCTGTGGCTGCGCGCTCGCGCCCGATGTGCACAAGCATAACCTCCAATATACTGACAGAGCCTGACAGGTCCCTACGAAGAGCGACCGCCGAAATGAAAAACAACGGATGAGAGGAGAGCCACGTGACTGGCGCCGCGCTGCGGCGAGACGCCGAAACATACTTCTTCTGAGCGAGCAAGTGTGTTTCGGGTCCTCGCAGCTGCAAAAGCTGTGCGCTGACGTCTAGGCTCCCTGAGAAATGGCTCTTTGATGCTCTTTGCTACCAGATCCTCGCGCTGCAAATCTGCGACCGGGCACTCTATGGCTCCGTCGTCGAACTGCCAGGCTTTGTGAGCATAGAGGAGGCTATGGCACAAGACACCGAAGTGTTGTCAAAAGTAGGAAGCTCGCGCCAGAGGCGAGAAAACTGAAGCTCCTCTCTGCCGTTCTCACTATGTCAGTGACTACAGGAGGAGTAGGGGCTACTGGATGAAAGCTTCAGTTGGGATAGGTTCTGCGTAGTTTGAACGGCTAGATGCGCCGTAGCTCAGAGTTACCAATTAAATACACCTGGGTTGCGTCTTCTGTAGTTTTGGTGTCCTGGAATACCTTGCCAAATGGCACAAAACATTACACGACATGCAATATATATATATATATATATATATATATATATATATATATATATATATATATATATATATATATATATATATATATATATATATATATATATATATATATATATATATATAATGGGATTGAGTGAAGATTGACAAGTGCAACCGTAGTAATATTGAGAACGATATATATATATATATATATATATATTATATATATATATATATATATATATATACGGCAGAAAACGCACTGGAGACGGTTGTTGGAGTTTTTAAAACCCATTATTCGTAAAGTTCGTCGACGTTTCGGCCTGAAACAGACCTTTTTCAAGACTTATGGGTCTTGGGTCTTGGTGACCCAAGACCCAAGACTCTTGGGTCTTGGTGACCCAAGACCAAGACGCCGGTCTCACCAAGACTTCCTCCTAGTGAGACTGGCGAAGAGACTTTGTCTCTTCGCCAGTCTCGAAAAAGGTCTGTCTCAGGCCGAAACGTCGGCGAACTTAACGAATAATATGTTTTAAAAACTCAAACAACCGTTTCAAGTGCGTTTTCTGCCGTAAATACTGTTCGTCATCCTGCGCTACGTTTTCTCTCTCTCTCTCTCTCTCTCTCTCTCTCTCTATATATATATATATATATATATATATATATCGCGTTTCCATGTTTCACCTCTTCAGTGTCAGAATCGCGTCTCTGCAAGTCAGGAGAAAGTGCAGATTAAATACGCCGAGACCTCCGAGACCACCGTGCCTCTGGGATTTGACGCTGCACGTGTGCTATTTAGTGCAAATGAGCGGAGTGGGGATGTATTCTCCTTAGTGCAGCATTTGCGTGAACGGTGACAGGCTGAAGTTCGATACTCTGGTCGCTTTGGCTAGGTTCATTGGCTTTGTCGACAGCGCCACTGCTATACCCAGTGTTTCTGGAATACTTTTAATAACCCGCATCGCCTATAGCAACTCAATTCTTTAAGCACATACCTAAGAAAGTTTACTTTAAAAGAGTTGTGTCTTGATGCTTACGTAGAAGATCAAATGTAGGAGGTAGCGCGTGCCGTCCGACAGGATGATGGCGATCATCATATAGGAGCTGTGCAGTCCATACATGAGCGATATTCCTTGCAAAAACGTCAACATCATCGATTGCTCGATGGATATTTTGTACACAAGCATGTAGACCACCAAGTCCACGACCTGCGAGATTCGAGGGAATAATTTAAGGGAAAGACACTCAAAACTCAATTACTCCAAAGGTTCGTATGGGCTGTGTCTGAGCGATACATGGTGTATCACGGCACAGAAAATATGGAGAGAAAAAAAGCACACTGCTTACGAGTTCAAGGGCAACAAGGATGTGGTGGATGGTCGAAGCATTTTGCTGATACATGGTCACCAGCTCTACGCTTTCAACCAAGCTTGGAGCGGTTCCTGAAATTAAACAGGTGTTCGTTCAAACGTTCACATATATAAAATATGCTAAGGTCGTTTCCGTTCTGAAAAGCATTCGCCCGGGCCCATCCAGCGCTGAGGATGTGTCACGTGACCTTGCGTCCCGAGTATGACTGCTTCCGATCGTGGCACGCTCGCGTTTGCTGATTGTCTCCAGTTGTTCGTATCTCGCCGTGACTCAACGTGGGGCCCGAAATAGTGAGTAAACGTATCGAAAAGTTTCCCCAACAGAAACTACTTTTAGTCACGACGGTTATAGCCGCAATCTGGCTGTAGTCACTTTTTCTGTACAATATTGTTTTTTATTCGTCCACATTAGAAATGTCCTGCTATAATCACATAGACTTTGAATATAATCGCGTCGAAGCGCACCGCCCGCCTCTTAAAACTAGTAAGTAGGGGAGCAACAGGACATGAAGTTGGGTAGTTGGTGCAAGTTCCTTGCAGGAATAAACTTCAGTTGCCAGTCAGCGTCATGTTCGTTCACTTCTCGTTCCCGTCCTTCGTGTAATTTGCGCTGTTTTCAAATTTTTATAAATAGGGGAGTGTTGTAGAAGCGACTGCCTATTCATCAACTGGTAAGATGGGTTGAAAATTTGAGCTTGAAGATTAACTTCTTGTTTTTCTTGAAAGTAGGCGCTCTTATGTTAAATTAATTTGCTTAAGAAAGTTTCATGGACTTTTGGTGTCACATATGTCTTAAAGAGACGCTTCGTTTGCAATCATTTTTTACCCCGGAACGACCAAGGTGAACATAACCGGATACAATATTCGGACATTTTTCGCTGCTGCTGCATTCACTTCGTTTTAACTGAAAATTAAGAGCAATTTTTACATTTTTGATAAATCCATTGAACAAATCTACCCGAGCTTACTACTCACAAATTGACTATCTTATGCATGCTGGTGGTGCATTCAACACGGATAATTTCTTTTTTAATTAAAAGATGTCGGTCCACTGAGCAATATAGGATTTAAAATACTCACCATTGACCGTGAAAATCATCGCCGTTGTTTGTTCTGTAGAGCTGTGGTTGTCCTTTAGCACTTCGGTGCATGATTGGGTAAGAGATTAGCCGGAAATTAGCAAGCCACAAGGTACATTCTTTTTAAATGTGGTTTGACACATTGCAAATATGCCATTATCATACCTTTACTCAGCCGTAGCTTGATCTAACCTTTCAAGCGCCGGTCGAGCTTCTTTTTTTCTTCTTTGAGGGAGATATAGAACGCTTCTGAAAACTGCTAGGTGAAGTTGGTTGTGCTACATAATGCGAGAACTGCCTTTCTACCCAGACTTCTTGCAGTCGTTATTGTTTCCAACGTTGTTAGCATGTCGAGCCACCGGAAGCTTGCTAGCACTTCATCTTTTTTGCGAAGTTCTTCGCGCAGGACGCCCACGTAATTCCACTAAGCAAATTGTGACTGTTTCTTTAACCTTAAACACGCGGACAACTTTATGTAGCTATGCAGTCGAAGGTATGGGAGCGCGTGCATGAATGCCGATTAAAAATGTGCACGCGCACTCCTCATGTCGTCGAAAATACCACAGAAAGGAATTTTAGTATATCTGAATAACACAACAATAAGGGGGGGGGGGGGGGGGGGCGGGGAGGGGGTCAGATCGGTTGCTGGGTGCGCACACATCAAAGCTCGGAGCACGTGGAACCAAAGCTCGCGCTGGAGAATTCAGAGATCCAAGATTCACAGAGTTATTATAATGTACGCTCGATGCTCAATGGCGCTAGTGTCTATCCGACTTCCGGGATACAAATTGAAGCAGTCAGCCACTAGAGTCACTAAATAAAGCTACGCTTTCAGAGTACCGCATTCCTTTTCTTTGGCACTTTGCCCACAATACAGTCGCTCTATTCAACAATATTCTGGTTCGCTGCGGCATCATTGGACAGCGTAGAGCCACTAAATGAGCTGCGCTCATTTAGTGAGCGCAGCTCACCAAATGAGCCACTAAAAGAGCCACTAAATAAGCGTAGCTTATTTAGTGGCACTAGGACAGCGGTAGCCAGGTGTGTCACTATCATCATCATCCCGTTTTTTCAACGCCCCCATCTTGGGTCCAGCGATCCGCTGCCTGCTGCTGTTTTACTTTTTACGGCGCGCGCACGACGCTAAAGTGTGTTGCTCAGCACGCACTTTTTCCTTCTTGTGACGAGATACGAACAACACGACCTTGATTCGCTGCCACAGCCTCAGCTACGACAGCTGGCGCAGGCGACGGCTACAGCTCGGCTTGGCTCAGTTACAGGCACTTCTCCATCTGCGCGTAGACCCAAGTTGGCGACGCCTGACGCGCTTCAGACGCGTAGCTTGGGAGTTTCGGTACTCTGAAAGCGTAGCTTTATTTATTGACTCTATCAATCACCTAATGAACATAGTTACAGTTGCGCACACAGGGACAAGGACAGAGAAAAGGAACACGTAGACGACAGACAAGCTCACTTTACACTGTAACTATGGTCATTAAAGGGACCATGAAATGATTTTAAAATCGAGTTTCATCCACCGCACGTCGTAAAAGGTGTGAAAAGAAACACAAAAACACAAAAATAGGGAGCCCAAAAAAATTATTTGCTATAGAACTTTTAAAAGAAAACTGGACTCTTTTGCGCCTTCCTTCCTTCGCCTGTTCACTACGATGCATCCGCGGAAATGGAGCACGTCAGCCAAATCCAGGTCGCCTATTGGGTAAGAGCCTACCTTACCAGCAGCGCGATCGTAAACAATAAATAGCCGGCGAATGTTTCCGAAAAGTTTTGTTAAATAATATTCAGATCCACATTTTGTAGCATAATTAGAGATGTGTAGCGAAAATTGCCAAATTTGATAATGCTGAGAGCCAGGCGCCATCTATCGTGTGGTAAACGAAGCAACTACTGCGCGTGCGCAGTAGGGCAGGGCCGACAGTTACTTGGGTGGCGGCCAGCGACGAACGTTTATTTTCTTTGTTTTCCTTCCTCTCAAAACTCTGACTGACTGAACGTTTATTTTTCTACGTGTTCTTCCCGCGCGTGCCGACTTCAAGCAGCAAGAAAACAGTACTTAAAACAGACCACGACGAACAAGAACGCTGGATCCACCGACTCCGACGAAGCGTATACGCCTCGCAAGTGGGCTCATTTTCGTCTTCTGCGCATAAGAAAGGAAGTAGCGGTGACGTCAGAACGCCGAACTCTGATTGGCTGATCGCGGCCCCCTATCTCAGCGTCGTCTGCTCCTTTGCAACGTCGTCTGCTCTCAACGTCGTCTGCGTCTGTCTTACCTTTCCTGCGACTTTCGGAGCGAACTCGACCTCGCCTTTAAGAGAGGGCAAACGAAATAGCTCGAGCGGTACGTTGTTTTTGTCTAACAACTAGCAGACGCGCATCAAGGAGGGAAGTCAAAGGACTCCCTGGCGAGGTGTCCCGGGGCGCCGAGGTTTTTTTGCTTAGAACCGAGGCAAGTTCCCTCCCAAATACTTTTCCCCTCCATTCGTGTGCGGCGAGACCCCTCACTCTTTAACGGCGTCGGCGGGTTGGCGCAGTTAACGTCGTCTGCTTTACGTCTGCTAGTCAAAGCGGTCAAAGCGATGGCTGCTTTACCTTTGCTGCGTCTGTCGGAGATACCGCTTTTTCGTCGGCGAGAGTCACCGTTGCCTCGGGAAACAAGGAGATAACAAGAGGAAGAAATTGACCCCTTAATCTAAAATTGAGGTCAGCAATCAAAATATTATACGGGAAGGGTTCACAAGGGTCGCGCGGGCATATTCCACTCAGCACGCCAGCCGGTCGTGGGCAGACGGTCGCCGAGTCGCGGAGAGCCTGCTAGGCCTAACTGCCCAGCTCGTTTGGGCGCGTTCGGTGGGATCGTGGCCGTGGGAGCTTTTCCCGGGTGTTTGTGGATCCAGCGTTCTTGTTCGTCGTGGTCTGTTTCAAGTACTTTCTTTTTTCTTGCTGCTTGAAGTCGGGACGCGTCAGAACCGCACGTAAAAAAATAAACGTCCGTGGGTCGTCGCGACCGCGACGTTGTCGGCCATGCTGATTTGATGGTAAGAAGTGCGTAAGACAGCTTCGGAGCTGTCGTAGGATTTTGTCGTAACCTGCGCAAAACTTACGAAAATTTCGTTTCGTGAATACGAATTTGTTCTTAAGTTTTGTCTTACGCACATTTTTGGCGTAAGATCGTTTCGTGAATCTGGCCTCTGCACTTCCGAAAGTCGCAGGAAAGGTAAGACAGACGCAGACGATGTTGCGAGCAGACGACGTTGCAAAGGAGCAGACGACGCTCAGATAGGGGGGCGCGATCAGCCAATCATGGGCTCGGCGTTCTGACGTCACCGCTACCCCCTGCGCGAGAAGCAGACGAACTTGCCCTCCGCATAGGCCTTGCAGGCATTCCGACTCGGCGCTGCGTTGCTTCGTCGCAAGACCGTCTGCCTACGATCGGCTGGCGTGCTAAATGGAATATGCCCGCGCGACCCTTGTGGACCCTTCCCGTATTATAGTTTGATCACTGACCTCAATTCTAGATTAAGAGGTGAGGTCAATCTCTTACCCTTGTTTTCCGAGGCAGTGTTGACGAACACTCGTCGAAAAGGGACTCTCGTCGATTCTATCTTCTTGTTTTGTGTGATATAGAGCTGAAATAAACGCCGTATGGATTACCTTCGTAACACGGTATGTACACTTTGTTATTGGTATGCCATTTTTATTCTGACAGACTGCACGTCACTGTCGAGCTATAACAGTTCGTGGGAGGTATACGTACAACGCCGGTCCAACCTTTCTTTGCCGAGTGTCGCGTCAGTATCGAGTTGCAATCGTAAAAGAACAGTCCCGAAGCGTTTACAAACAGCGCGAACACAAGACTTCCATCAAGCGCGCGCGTCCGCTCCGAGTGTAAACAGGTATTTACGTGGCTCTTGCTGACACTCGTAGTTCAAACGTATCTTTTTTTAACGTCGGCTCGCTCCTGCATCTCCGAAGCAGCGAAAAACGCCATCTACGTCGCTTTGCAAACGACTGACACGGGCCGGCCCTTCTGCCAACAATGACGGGGTGGTTGACTTCTAGAGTCTTCACCGGAAGACTCGCTGCACTTCCCAACAGGCATACCGGCGTATGGGACTAGTCCCATGCTGTCGCTGTAGCGCAACATATCTCATTGAATTTCGCTCAGCTGCGATGCGGCGATGAGAGGCGCCGATTCAGGAAATACGTCGGTGACATCAGCGCAGTAAAACCTACCGGCGCACCCCAACTCGTTGCCGCTAACACTCCCATTCTCCTACTGCCGAGAGAACTTCCGGTTCCGGAAACGGCCTACGTCACGGCTTGTTTTGCGGTCAGTTGGAGAGAATGAAAAAGTCGATATTTCAATAATTTTTTGTGTAGAAGTTAATAAACCGAGACAAAAACGGATGCCTGTTCGGCATTCAGTGAACATTGACGGTTTAATGTAAAAGTTATCTGGAAAAAGTAAAAAGGTCATTTCATGGTCCCTTTAACTAGCAACTCGCCCAACTGTCTACCCTACTATACTCTGTTTCATACTTAGCGTGCAACACTGTCAAAGCTACTGGCGCGAGCGCGTGGCTTCATCTATGGTTTTGCTTGCGCGAGAACGCGTGCAAATGATCAAAGAGATCAAGCCCCACGCTCGCGCCAGTAGCTTTGACAGCGTTGCACACTAAGTATGAAACAGAGTATACACCAGTCTAATTTTGAGGTGCTCCTGTGCATTCCTATGCAAAGCCCCTCTCTATCCTGGGAAAAGTGGCGCCATTCATTGTTGTGCAATGCTCGAAACACGTGCCCAGCGCCCCTTCTGGGAAGAACATGTCGTCTGAAATCTAGCTCTGTGCTGCGCTGTGCTACATAACTGTGCCGTCATGATCTTCCCAAGGGCTGCACGTTGCACGTGCCTCGTGCATCGACTCACCTTGCGCTACTTTTGAAACATGAAGGGGCTTTATTCCTATGGGAAAACGCGCGTGCATTTTGTCTCTTC